TTTTTTTTTTGAGGAGCAGGACCTATTAGAAAAACAATGTTAGAGTCTAACTATTCAAAATATCCAAAAGATGTAACATTTTAATTGTGTCATGGATCAGAGACATCCTCTGAAAATTCCATGATGTTTCTCTTTTAGTTATTACAAGTTGGTTAATAATCCTTAATTATAACAATCCATAAATTAGAAATGGCAGTATGTTTGTTTGTCCTAGAAAATCTTCAAAAATACCTATGCCAACCCTTAGTGTATCAGGAGAGGTTCCTTTAATAGTCTTAACAGGAAAGTGACTGAAAGTGACAGTGACTCATACTTGCCTTGAGTTTTTAATTTTAAAGTTTTGCATTTTAAGCATCATTTGCAATATATCTCTATTACTTAAATATATTTATTTGCAGTGGAGGAAAATTCGTCTCTTGCTTCAGAAAGTCACTCAAAAACCACTTTGTTCACTTTGTGTATTAAGAGGAAAACTGTTGATTCTTCCAACACTTAACAAATAATTAACAAATTGCATGGTCATCTCAATCTCTTTAATTTAAGAACAACAGAGTTTTCGTGTGAAATAGTTTACTTGTGAGTATTTTAAGAAACAAAAAATATTTTGGCAGCTTTATATGTATCTCCTCATTGACCAAACACCTGACTGACAGCTGTCACCTGTCACAGGCCAAATGTAACTCAGTAAAGATAAAAATGACATATTACTCATCCCTGTTGATAATACCTGGTGCCAGCAAGTTTACAAATCAGAATACCTAGACTATAGACAAGAAGAATAAAAGAAGAATCATTCCTTCTGCCCAGCGTCCTCCTCTGTCATTAACTCACTTTCCTTTTCTTTCATGTTTGTCCCATTTTTCTGCATGCCTATGCATATTTCACATGTAGAAAGAATTAATTTCTGAAAAAGAATTTTCAAAGGTAACACACCTATAAAATACTGAGCATCCAGGTCATGATGTTCATACCTGTCCTTGAATCACATTTCCTTTTGAGCTCATGAAATCTTTAAGAGTTATGGGAAGAAGGCTTTGAAGCTATCACTTCTCATTTAAAAAAATTTCACTGAAGGACAAAAATTTAAGCCAAGGTCTCTGAGATGAGAATGTAGATGCAGATTCAGGCTTGCCTCCCAATTTTATATTCACTGTGTTTTGTTTTGTTTTTTTCTTTAACTTTTCTTTGACTTTAAACATGTGGACAATCAAATCACCAAACTGAAAGGGAAAAATTCATGTGAGTAACATTACTTTCTAAATCTTTTTCCATCACCAAGGAATACCTGATCATAGGAATATCAATATATGCTTATCAGAGCATATTAAAATATGGTGCAAAAAAAATAAAAGCACAAACACATCGAAACAGACACATTACAAGCTCTTTCAGAGTCTCCTCACCATTTACATGCATTTACAAACTGAAAATATTTAGGAATGTATTTGCAATAACAGTAGTTTTAGAAAAATAATAATGCATATATAGAAATCAAAGGTTTAGCTTGGCTTTTCTGAAAGGCTCTGGAATAATTATAAATCCTAAATACATGAAAACATCAGCTTGTGTATGATATGCAAGAGCAGAAAACATTTTAAAACTTGTATGACTGACTTAACTAGCTAGTTCTGTGTGCATATGTGTGTGTGTGTGTGTGTGTGTGTGTGTGTTAACAAACCAAAATGGACCCCAGACGTTTCATGTGTGTGCCCTAGCAAGCGCAGAAACCCTACTATTCAATATTCTTTTATTAATATAAGTATCTGATAGTAATATAATCATTGATCATATTATTAAGTGTTTTTAGATGTTATTTGTTGATAATGCTGTACAGTAAACTAGCTCAGTCAAGATTATGAAAATGCCAATATTCAAACAAATATTC